ACAGGATGGTTATAATGTCTACAAGACCTCTGCTTCATATTCAACGCTAGTAGGAGCTTTGCCCTTCATATCAGCCCCAGTCCTGGATGTTAGCTTCCAAGGTATGGGCATTTACCAATCATTGGAGGGGTTTTGTGTCAACGTGGGGGTCTCAGAAGCTGTCTGGACGAGAGAAACATTCTTTATCTCGTCTCCAGGCCTTGAGTACCGACCAGCACGGCATATCCCGACGCAAACGAAGCCACATACCCTTCACCGTCATTGATGATCCGGGGTATAGCTTGTATCTGGCGCCCTTGATTGGACGATAGGGGGGCAAGAAGTATCGGAGAAAAGCCGATCAGAACAAGGGTTGATGACGATCTGCTTCAGGCTTTAGACGGATGTAAACCTGGTAGGCGGATTAACTATAGAGTTCCCGAGGCATGATGTCTTCGAGCATGCTTCATAGTGCTAGGAAGTATGAAGCGGAGAAGTGGAGGTGACCCCGCGTGGGGGTCGCCGATCCGGGGTATCCCCAGTTCCCAGTTCCACCCACATTACTACGTACTAGCACCATCAATTTTGATAAGTAGTCGATCAATCCACTATATACTGATTCTGATCTGCATTCATGCTTGTCATGATGTTACTTGATGGACCTGGATGTGAACTTCGTATATATGGCATTAGCAACCAGACATCTAGCACGTTCATCTGAGGTTGTTTAGCCGGCATAGCTGGTTGAAAAAGGGCGTCATGGCGTCGGAGCAAGTCCGCTCAGCAGAAGTCATGAGGCCTGAGGGAGAAGGGAGGAGAGGGGGGATCCATCAGGCTTGATAATGTGCCGTAAATGCGGTTACTTCACGGCCAGGAACCAGCATAATGGATAATGGAAACAATGGGCTGGAATCTGATGCTATGGAGAAGGTAGTCTGGAGACGACTAGAATCGGAGGACTGTGAAGGAAGACGCTACACCCCATTAGGAAACCCGACTTCACAGCTGATCCTGATCATGCCATATAAGGGAACTACGACCCCGTTGGGGAGCTTAGAACCATGATGATGTGCCTTACTCGCAAGGGGACGTATCAAGACCATATTACTATCATGGGCGTTTTCAGGAACCTACGCTTTTGATAACCATAGCCAGATCATCAGCCAGATATAGGACGGTCATGAGAGAAAAAGTACAGGGCACCTCACACTGCCGGTACCTATATGTTAACCTATTTATCCCATCCTCGAGTAATTGGCCCAGATGAATGGACATCATACACAAGAGGTATAAGCGGAATGCCATACCCCTATCATCCGGCATGGTCCGCAACTGACGAATTGAAACTATCCAAACACACCGGGGGTTGCTAGTCTAGCCGACGACGACTAGCTCGTTAGGCGAGATCCCACCCAAAGCGTCTAGACCGTGCCATTAGTTCAAATTAATCAATATCTCACTTTATCTTAGAAGGATCGATAAGCTAGATCATGATCTCCGTGCAATCCGACCTATCTGATGCTATCAGCCATGTAGTCCCACCAACGAGCACCAGATGGCCGTTAGCAACAACGACGGACAAGTAGCTTGAAATTGAAGGCTTTCACGACCACTCTTATGGTTCCACGTGGTTCCCATATTGTAGCAGGCAACGCCTGAATGGTCAGAAATCTGTATGCCGTATGCTCCTTAGGTCTAGTTAATGGTATTTCGTTGGTCTTTTAACTGTCTGTTAGCCAACCGCCCGTTGTCGCTGTTAAAGGCACAGGGGTCCGCGGATGGTTCATAATGAGCCCAATAGTACCCGGGCACGAAAAGCGAAGTGAACACCCGGCTTGATATTCAACCGATCCAGCAGCCATAAGCTTTGTCGTCTAATAGCTTAGGTAGGGCCGGAAATAAGAAGCTTAAATCAGAATCGACCACTATATGGCATGGGTCCTGCGTGGCTGTCCACTAGCAAAGCTCTTCACTGAGATCTGCGAGGTCACTGGGGTAGAATGTAACTTGTCGTTGGGGCTAGTGTCGACGCCAACATCAAATTGTGCAATGGTAGTTGATATAAGATTCAGACCATCGAATAACCGGCCGTTGGGTGATGATGCTGGTATGTTGTGACGACCGCATCAAGGTGCTGGGAAGCACTGAAGGGCGGACAATTGTCATTTATTCCGCTATTTCCCATCAAGTGACTTGAGTATGGTCTAATTATTATCTGACAGACCGTTTACTGTGTTTAGCTTCTATGCTGTTAGTTGTTGGGTTTATCCAAAGATATGTATAGATAGCCCAAGAGATCTATAACATAAGAATAGCCTGACATAGTAAATGTATTATTCCAATTACAATGAGATTGCCCATCATTATTGTTAACACACGAGCATTCACACATGTATACACCCAAACCCAAACCGAAGCGTGGTTTTAGTAATCGCATGAAAAGCCTTGCAAAGACAGGCTATATGTGAATTATACCTAGCAGAGGTGCACCGTGAGCATTTAGGGGTACACGGTAGTATAAGTTAGTCCTGGATGTGTATTGCGCTTCGATTGAAATCTAGAGTCGACGTATTCAAGGGCTGTCCAGTAGCCGCCAAGGAGACACAATAAAAGCGATCAAGGCTTCCGATGTCTCCCGTTAGGCCATCCGGATAAGGACAATACCAAGGTCTTATTGCCGAGTTCTTGGTTCAGAGGCCAGACGATGGCAAGATGGATCGGAGATTTGAGCAATCTCCCCTCGTGACCAGGGAATTGTACCTGAGCTCAACATCCCTCCAAGAGTGGCTGAAGGGGGTGGTGTGCGGTAACGGGTAATTGTCCGAGAGCAGCGCGGTCGGGAATGCCGCCAATCTGCGTGGCTTTTGTTATCGAGTAGGATAGACGAACGAGCGACTGCCAAGCGACCATACAAGCAGACGGCGGTTTCATCGCTCACGAGGTTCCAATCCATCTGCAGACGGGAGTGGTATGGTATACCATTCGTTGGATTGTTGAGCTAAAGAGGGTAGTATAGACAGGGAATTGTCAACATCAATCGAATTGAAGGACGCGGAATGGTTGCGTTGGGAGCTCTGGGATGATGAGAACAGACTCCTCACTCTCCAATCACATGCTCCCTGGCAGGAATTGATTGATTGATGAATGATCAATCTCCCCACTAAGGTCATCAGCTGGTCACACTTGTCTACCGCGTCTGACAGATAGAGTCATTTAGTATGATGGTCGAGATCGTTCAGATGAATCATGATAATGGTGGTCGTTAAACTTTTTGTAGCCGTGGTGTAGAGGAAAACCAACAATCATGGCCATCATGGCACCATTGTGCGCCCGTTGGATTCTGACGGGTTTGCCAATATCTGATGCTACTCCGCTGGGACCAATAACAATATAATAATGCAAGTAAATCAGTAATTGACCTCAAGGCATGTGGCCGTTTTGGGACAGGCCAACCTTCCGCCTCCAACCATCGGCGGAAGTGAAAAAAAAAAGGAAAAAGCGTAATCCTGAGAGAAACATAATCATGGTTACATTGAAATGCTTTTCACCCACATTTCCAGTTCCCACGACACCCTCCCTCTCAGCATTCTGCCCGCAATTTCCATACCCCACCGTTTGGAGAAAAAGGACGCTATGGGGGCACCAGGCTCAGACTGGACCACCACCGAAGAAGTGGGGGTTTGTTGCTAACCCATTTCCCGTTTAGCTGCATGCCTTCGGAGCTCTCCTGCCCGCCTCCTCCAATACCCGCAGAGAGAATTCCCGGAGAGGAGGCCCTGGACACACCCTCTCTCCCTGACTCTCACACCGACTTCCCACCGTCGAATAGCACCATCTTCTCAGCCTGCTGCGGGTGTACGGACAGCCCTGGTTGCAATTGGCGGAAAGGGCCGTGACGGACCTGCAGATCGAGCCAGAAGACGAGGGTCTGAAATTCTCACATGCCCCAACAACCGCCTGGAATATCCCCAGAAATCACTCGGCAATAAATAGTCACGATCCTTCGCCGTGCTTGATCGCGGCTAGTCCAGCGCGGTTTGTTCTCTAGTGGTTGATCCACTTCGCCTCGTTTCAATCCATTGGCCCATTATCGTTGAATGACTGCAGTAGTGCGACCGCTAGACAGGCATGGGCAGCCTACTGGCCGACCAGGCTGCGGTTTCTAGCGTATCCTAAGGGTACGGCTTGCACCTTCAATTCGGGGAACCTGCCTTTCGTTTAAATAATACTCGATATGGAGTGCTGTGAAGATCAATTGCTCCGACGTTTGGTTTCATTGCGTGGGACGCCGTTCTGATCCAGCGATTGTAATGTCAAAGACTTCCGTAGTCCATCATGACAGTCAATTTGGTGTGTCTCATTTCAAGATGCAAGCCGCTAGTCTCGAGAGATCATTGGCCTTGTAGCTAGCTGTCGATAAACTTAGGGAAGCAAGCCAGTATTCACAACCTTAAATTTGAGTGGCTATCCGATCCGATGCCAGGCACGGCAAGGGAACGCTTATCTACTCACGTCTCGAAACCCCGGATTTTCCTGGCAATATGACTAGGGAATGAGCGTAGCCAACAATGCAACCAAGAAGTTCCAGGTAGCCCGAGTCGACGATAATTGAGTGGATGTCGTGGCCTTATCCGGAAGGTCAGATTCGGCGAGACGGGATGGTCTGCAGCAAGGTGAATCTGTCCTGGACCCCGCAAGCATGAACTAGTGTCTACGAATATGTAAATTCGAGAAGTGGATGAAAAGGTGGTGTGCATCGGATCTTTCCAGATGACAGTCAACAGCAGGTCATCCGCCGGGAGGCAAGCTCACAAATTGTGAGGGGCAGTCAAAGATCTGGTCAGTGGCATAAACAGCTATTGCCTTACTTCTCTACCACCCGGTCATGGCGCAAAAAGGTTCAAGGCTGTTCAAGTTGCAAGTTCTCGTTTTCTAGCCTCCACAACCGATTCCAACGCACTGGGCGGTAGTTCTTTACCTGGCGGACCATGCGTGTAACCATGGGACCAAATGCTCTTTCCGCCAATGGCAATGATCGGTCCAGAGGAGGGATGCCACATGTCGTCATGCTCCCAGAGTTGCAAATGGTCATGAATATGAAGCCGCCACGCAGATCCGAAGATCACTGACGTGGGGGGTGGTTATGTAAAGCAGTAAACGCAGTAATATGCAACCTGATTAATGCTGAGATTGTGAGGGGAACCGACCCTCCACTCCCCGCATTCTACGCAGGTAAAAAGAAAAAGAAAAGGAAAATTTTGCAAAAGTCCATGAAGGGGTCAGAGTTATGGGTATAACGTGGCTTCCAGTGTATTGATCGAGCAGGGCGAGAAATGACTCCAGGATACACGGGGAGGGGTGACCGTCTGCATTCGATATCCACTGCCATGGTGCGATGATGGTAGGACTGAATCATAGGGGAGATGATGGTGGTGTTTGCTCGAAATGGTCTGAGACACCAAGCAACAAAATCGCCGCGGGCAGAAGTGGTCATGAAACCCCAGTATCGTCACTTGCCTTACGGCTTCCCGGGCAGGGGAATGGCGAGTGACGTAATTTCCCTTTGGGTGTTTGACTCCCGAGCCACCGGGCCGCAGCAGAGAGTAACGCCTCTTTGGGGCCGATGTTCCGACTAGTACTAGCAATACTGTTAGTGTGCAGGTCTTGCAGGTCGCGAGGACGAAAAAGGGAAACAGAAAAATGTAATTATTACAAAGTATGTTTCCTTCCAGCAAAATAAAAAAAAATCATTTTCATGGTAGACAAAGCCCACCATTGTGTGGTCTAGAAGACCCTCAGTGCTGAGCACTCGCACCGATCGTAGCATTCAAGATACGATGACGCATGATGGGGTCCCCCGGAGGACAGACAGCCTGCCTACGAACGGAGGACAGCCGCCCTTCCCTTCTCCAGCCGATTCCACACACCTTTAAGGGGGGCACGTATCTTAGGGAGCTTAACATCCACAATCGACCCACCCCTGGCCACTTCTGGATAAGAAAAAAAGTGGGTAGTGACCATCCTCCAGTGGGACGCTGGCCTTTATAACGTCGAATGACCCTCCATTTGGCCTGGAAACGTTAACGTCAAAAATACATACTTGGGAAACGGCAGGGAGACAAAACCTGAATTCTTCGCCTTTTGATAAATCCCTTCCACCCCCCTCCCAACCCTCCCAACCAACAAACTTGCATTACCTCGAACGATCAGTATCCCTCCCTACGAATCATTGCCACTTTCTGCAACCATCATGTCGCGAACTAGAGTTCTGCTGGTCGGGGCTGCGGGCGAAACGGGCGGCTCCATCGCGAACGGACTGCTTGAGAACCCCGGCTTTGTAAAGAACCCCCCTGCTCTCCTTGTATCTTCTCTCATCTCTGAGCTCAAGACTAACCTCTGCACTGCTTCTCATTAATATAGGAAGTTCATGCTCTCGTCCGTCCCCGGTCGGTTCAAAAGCCTGCCATCGTAGCCCTCCAAGAGCGAGGCGTACAGATTCGCAAGGGCGATCTCAAGGGCCCTGAGGAGTCTCTCGCCGACGTGTTGACCGGAATCGATGTCGTTGTCAGCTGTGTCGGTCCTGCGGAACAGCAGGACCAAATTCCTCTCGCTAAGGCTGCAAAGAGTGCTGGAGTTCAACGATTCATCCCATGTGGCTTCATCACTGTGGCACCACCCGGTGGAATCATGTGGTTGAGGGACGAGGTAAGTCGCCGCCGCCGCACACCATACCTTCCGTGGATCATCAGCTGACTTCTCCCCCAGAAAGAAACAGTGTACAACCACATCAAACAGCTCCGACTTCCTTACACCATCATTGACATCGGTTGGTGGTACCAGCTTTCTTACCCCCGCCTCGGTTCCGGAAGGACCGACTATGCCATGACTACGGCGAACAACGAAATAGTCGGTGATGGCAACACACCTCTTGCCCTAACGGACCTTCGAGACATTGGACGCTACGTCGCCAAGATCATTGTTGATGACCGGACACTGAACAAGATGGTTTTCGCCTACAACACGGTCCTGACACAGAATCAGATTTATGACCTTCTGGAGGAGATCAGCGAGGAAAAGATCCAAAGGAATTATGTAAGTACAGTGACTCGCTGCGGTTGTTGGGTGTAAGCTGACCTCATCTGTCACAGATCCCTGAAGAGACTATCTACACAAGGGTGCTTGCAGCTCGGCAGTCCAGTGAGACCTATCCCTTCGATCCTGTCAAGTTCATTCCCCGATACCTGGCCGAAAACCAACTGTCATGGGGTGTCCGCGGCGACAACAATCCTGAGTACGCCAAGTACTTGGGCTACTTGACCTCCAAGGACCTTTATCCCGACTTCGCTCCGCACGACTTCCGGGAATATCTTGAGGAAGTTGTCCGAGGCACGGCCAAGGGTGTCTACACCGACCGGGTAATCTCCAAGGCTCACCAACGGATGTTCCCTCGGACTGAATCGAGCGACTCGCTTTACACCCGGATATTCCCGAGAACGGAATCTAGCGACTCCCTCTATATGTCGAGGTAATCAGGATATGCATTTTACTTTCCAGCAAAAGGATTTTGAGGCGACGCTAGACGTGCCTCCTGGGACCCGGCGCGATGTGTATATGACACCAATCTGTCGAAGCCACGCCATGTGATGATGGCTTCATTCTCTTCTCTGCCTTATTCCGCTTACACGAACGGCTTATTTTCCGTTTTCTTTTTCTATTCCCTGGGGGCTCTAGACCGGCGTTTTTGTATTTATGATGGTTTATGGTCGTCTGAGTGGGTAGGACTCACCACTCATTTCTTTGATTTACCAATGTATCTGAGGGGCTTTCAGCCTTGATTGGACGATATCTTTCCGTCAAAGCCAGAACTTACTTCTACTTATACCCATACCATTTCAATCCAACCTAGGACGTGATTCACAATCCCGTCTCACGTTACCCTTTGAAGTAACTAATTACTGAGTGTATGCGGAAAAGCACGCACATGGCTCCCGGGACATGCTCCTTCCGTGTGCACGCCTTCCATTTCAGCTGAGCTGTCTACTTTCCCACTGCTCTAAATTCTGAATCTGCAATTTAATGGCGTGTTCAGCTAGATGCTCGTCTCACGAAGTGAGCATGCCTCAACCAAGCCAGGGAGTACAGGGATCTGAAAGAATTATCCCCACGAATGAACACTACGCTTTTTCAACACGCCCTCCTAGCCAGGATGGGCTTTCAGCGGCTTCCTACGGTGTCTTGAAGCCCCAACAGATAACCATGGTTGGTCAGTATTCCGATTGAAAATATTTAGTCTTCTAACTGATCTTTCGTCTTCCAAGCTATTGGCGGTGCTATCAATACAGGGTTGACGATCTGCGCAGGAAATGCACTGTCCAAGTAAGAGAACAATCCCCAACCTCGAAAGCCACAATTGACACTTGAGATAGAGCAGGTGTAAGCGTCTCGCTCTTTTTTAACCTACTGTTACTAATACGGTCAGCCTGCATCGATTTTGATCTCCTATACAGGTGTTGGGATAGTTGTCTACTTGGTTCTCTGCGCTCTAGGTGAGGTGGCCTCGTGGTCTCCTGAGCCATCCATGACGGACCATGCAACTAGGCTCTGTGATCCTGCGCTTGGGTTCACCCTGGGATGGATGTAAGTCGCCTTGTATGGGATCGGATCTCTACCTCCAACATGCAATAACCACAGAATGCTAGATACTGGTTCAAGTTCATGGTCGTCATCCCCAACCAGCTGGCAGCAGGAGAGTTGCTGATAGCGTACTGGCAAGATAACGAAGCGAAATACTCAGCTTTTTGGACTACGGCCTTTTTAGGGGTCATCATAGCCGCAAATTCCATGTGCGGTCGATATCTGGGAAAGTACGAAGTCATTTTGTCATTCTTCAAGGTCCTGGTGATGTCAGGGCTTATGGCTCTATCCATTGTCCTTGCACTTGGAGGGGGGCCAGATCGCGATATGAAAGGCTTCCGCTACTGGAGAGACCCTGGGGCCTTTGCTAGTGGAACAGGTGGCGCCGTGGCAGGTACCGTCCGTGCTATTTGCAGAACAGTCCCATCCGCTACGCTCGCCTATCTTGGAAGTGAGTTGATGGGAATGACAATCCTGCGCACACCAAACCCCCGAAAAGCGGCAGGTCGGGCGATCAAGGTGACCTTCTACCGCATCTTGGTTTTCAACATTGTCAACATAACGCTCTTGGGAATACTTGTTCCCCATGACACCCACATGCTAGCATTTTCCCACAATACGCCCCAGCATCGGACAGCCTCGGCCTTCGTAGCTGTTGCTCAATCAGCCGGCCCTTCGGTAATTCCTCACATCCTAAACGCCTGTCTTTTGCTATTCGTGCTATCGGCTGCAAACCAGGCTCTACAAATGGCAAGCGTAACACTACAGGGTCTTTCATTGGACAAGAATGCCCCTTTCTTCCTGTGCCGTACTAATAGGCGAGGAACCCCCATCTATTCGTTGGGTACATGCTCTGCTTTGGCGTGTTTGGCGTACCTGAATATCTCCAGTGGCTCTAAGAGACTGTTTGAATACTCGGTCAACCTGGTTTCCATGTTCAGTATCCTGACGTGGGCTTCAATTCTCGTGATCCATTTCTCTTTCATTCGAGCAAGAAAGGCTCAAAAGATCACTGATGAGGTCTTGTCCTTCAGAGCGCCCCTTGGGCTGTTCGGATCGTGGGTTGCACTGGTAGCATGCGTCTTTGTCACGGTCATACGTGGGCTCGACTTTGTCGACCCAGAATATTACCCCAAAGGGATCGATCGCAGCATGGCATTTGTGACCTCCTACATAGGCATTCCACTCTATATCACGCTCGTGATTGGATATAAGATCGGCACCAAAAGCAAGCATGTACAACCACAGGATGTTGATATGGGATCCTTGACACCCATACCAGAGCCGCACTCCGCAGATGGGAATACCGTGGAACAAGAAGGGCCCGATTCAGTCCCATCGCTCCGGACGTAGACCGATCAGGATCTCTTTAGTCTGGACAGTTCCTCTTGATGTCGCTGCTGATCCCAACAGATCGTGTCCAAGCAACTGGGGAGGTCTATGTTGTGGAGCGAAACCCCATACACATTGTTACAAACGAAATAACCGCTCCATTGCATTCACTGTGGAATCCGTCGGCGGCCGATTTGGTGCGATAGATGTTCCTTTTCGCTTTCTTTTCTCCAGTTCATTGTTTGTCATTCTGATCGGGCAAGGAGTGGGGACTGTTACTGGGTCCGTTTACACGGCAGCCGACAAGTACAATCACGGCCTGGAATAAGAGTCAAGATGTGCGCGGTCAATTTGAGACATCCTCGAATCATCATAACAATCACGGTTGCTGTCAAGCACTCTTACTGGATCACCAGAATCAGGCTCCCAGCCTTGTAGATGTATAAATAAGTACTAATAAGGCTGTAGCACACAAGGATTAGCGGTATCGGCGCCAAACATCCAGTCATGATTTGCTGGGGTGGGGGAGCTGTCATGGGTGTTGTTACTTAGTGTGGGCTCAACACCTCGCCCTCTTTCTTTCTCTTATGCATCTCCATCCGTTGTGCATGCCCCTCCCTGTCCCTCGTCTCAACCTCTGCGACTCTTATTTTCAAACAGCATCAGTCTAGTTTCCCTCCTTTGACCAGAAAGGCAGTGCATTTTATGTGCATGATGCCGAGATCAAACCCCTTTTAATTTATTGAGCCAATCATTTGTTTATATGCTTCCCTTCCGTCAGGATACTACAGGGGAGACTCAATCAGAGCTTTGGATAGGATAGGTACGCATCGCTTGTTTGCAACGTAACAATTCAGAAACTGCCAGTGCATTGGGAAAGAACCCCGTCGCCTGTCCATCTATACCACGAGATGACTTTCCCCCGTACCCCAGTCAGAACTGGTCCGGAATTGAACAAGTTGATCGATTCGATAAACGAGCAATTCGATCTGGACATCCCAAATCCCCTCTTATTCTCTCCATCTATTGGCAAGAATGATAAATCACTTGGATGGAGCCTTTATGGCCGGATCAGAGTGCTATACTTCAACCGCAAGGTGGACTTGAACCGGATCTTCAACGACTTCGAGGAGTGGATTATCTCCCAATCAACGGTG